GCCAATTCACCCAGAAAATGGACGAATTCAGTATTAAACTGCAGTGTATCCCCCACGTTTACAAACCATTTAAAAAGCACATCACACATTTAAAGAACTATAATATACTTTTCTAGGGCTACAATCCCTTTTCGGGTGCAGCATCCAGAAAGTTATACCATATTCCAGATTTTGTTGCATAGATGTGGAAAAAAAAAAAAAAGGATTACGATGCTGGTGATTATTTATTCACCTCCTGATGATCAACCATATTACATTTGTCTCTGTTCTAGGAGAAGCAGCCTTTTCATCAAGTCATAGCACAGGGGGATGAGAATGGAAACAGGGTCATCCATGGGGGAGGGGGAGGTGGTGTCCAAAAAGTCAAGATGGCTGCTATTTTTGCATGCATCACAGGGGACAGTGCTTTGATTGTACAGTTGCAGCTGCCATTTTGACTTTTTTGACTCCTCCTGCAGGTGATTCCGGTGACATTGAACTGGATCTGCCATTCTAAAGAGATGCCCCTAGTTTCAAAAGGTATTTTCAGATCTTCTTTTCGTTTTATATCCACGCTACATGATTTGAGGGTGTCTGTAAAATTGCTCTCTTATTACTCTTCAGGTTTTTTGTCCAGACAGTTTTTGTACACATTAAAAAAACCAGTCCCAATGCAGATCCGTTGAGCAAAATACTGTTTAGATGGAGCTCTTCTCTTTTGTTACAAGTGCAAAGTTGAATTTGGGGAGCGTTTGGGGGGTTTTTTGTACAAAGAAATGAATGCAAATAAATGTACTTAGAGAACATAATTAATTGTCCTGTTCTTCTATCAAAAAACTGTAGGTTCAAAGGAATGTATATTTTGGAACACAGACCTCCACTTGTACTCACCTTGTACTTAGTACATTAGAAGATTTTCTTACAGCCATTCCCTATGGCAGTCATTTTGTAACAGCACCCAGAATACTTTAGTCAAACATACTTTCAGGCCTAGAAAGATGGGGACCCCTAGTTTGCTCTAAGACCTGCCATCCATGTTTCAGAAAAGCATTCAAAAGCATCTCTAAAAAAATTTGCTGAGCTAATTCTCCTAAGGCAGAGAATTCAGTGCATATGTCACTTGTGAGTCAATGTCAACTCCTGATGACATCATGGACACAACCAAGTAGGGTTTTTTTATGCTAGTCACTGCCTTCTTTTGAGATCTTTCTTTCTTTCTTTCTTTCTTTCTTTCTTTCTTTCTTTCTTTCTTTCTTTCTTCCTTCCTTCCTTCCTTCCTTCCTTCCTTCCTTCCTTCCTTCCTTCTCCCCCCCCTTTTTTTTCTTTTTCTTTTTCTTCTCTTCTCAATTTAGCCTACCGTTGTGGGATTTTCTAGTGGCCTCCCATTTAAGCCTGAGCCCAGCTTTGGAAACTCTGCTTAACTTCTGAATCCAGACAAGGTTGTCAAGGAGAGCACAAGAAAGCTTGAGACCTGTGTCTTTTTGACACATTTTGAGAGATTGCGAGGAAGCTGAGAAAGGAGGAACTCAAGACATAAACCAATGGGAGAGAAGCTTGTTAGTAGCTAATCTCATAAATGGCAACTCAGTCCAGGTTGCACAAAGGTCTAGAAGAGCTTCAAAACTTTCTGAAATTCTCCACCTTAATGAACTCCTAATAAAGGAGGGTTGGAGGTTCTATCACAGTTTCCAAGATTTCTGTACATTGAAGGAGGAGAAGCATGTTAGTCTAGGGTGGCAAAAAAATCAGGAATCTGGTAGCACCTGTTCAGACTAACATGTTATTCCAAGACAGAAACTTTCATGAGCTGCATCTCACTTCATCAGATTCTTTAATTCTTGCATTAAAACTCCTGACTGAAGCCTGTGTGATCCTCACTTCTTCAGTTATGTTTGGCCATCAGCTAGAAACAAATGGACAGCCACTTTGGGGAACACGTCTGTGAATCTTCACCAGACAGAGACACCCGCTGCATCTTGGCATCTGAGGAAAAGTCTTGGAGTTTCTGAGAAGGGAAACCATTTTGAGCCCACATGACAGCAAGAAGGAACTTCCAGGTCCAGGGCAATGGCCAGGGAGTGTGCCGACATAAGCAAACTCTTTGCATTTTTTCCACTCCTGTGAAAATGTCCAATTAAGGAGCTCGGGTGGGAAAAAATATAATTTTAGATTCTGAAGCTCATCAAGCCAAACGGTTAACAAGCAAAGCTGATGAGAAAGGGGAAGGCTTGAAGACGGCTACTTCAAAGACAAAATGAGGGCTCGTAATCAGGAAAGGATTAACGCACCATTCAACACCGGGGCTGCCAGCTGGGTTGCTTTATCTACCCCCCCCACTTTTTTTTTTGTTGTGAAAAGGCATTCTCTGCAAAAACTTCACCATGGAGACTGAAGACTCAGCAAACATTCAAGAAACCCCTTTCTGGCCACGGTCATTAAAAGTGGCTTTTCGGAATTGTCGTTTGGAGCTGGCAGTGTGGGGGGCACGTTTCTCTTGTGCACAAAAACACACCCATACTTTCAAAGAACTTCCACCGGCTCCCAGATCAGGAATAGGGTCCCAGTCCTGCAGTGAAAGGGGGGGGGGCGGCACGGG